TTGTGAGTTTATAGGTAATTTTGGTATATGGATCTTTGTATGGATTGCCTATGTTTCCTTCAATGAACATTGTGACTATTATTTAAAAAGCAACAACATTTGTAGATACAAATTCTTATTTAGATCTTATTTAGATGCAGGCCTGGTATGGTAACTCAAGACCAGATTAAATAATTCTGGGAAATAGGGTTCTGGTTTCTTCACCAGTGCCATAAGGCAGAAGCAATACAATGATGCAATTTAGCACTCAATACACTACATTGCTGAAGAGAGCCTAAACACACTCGAGGGCATATTAGCTCCAAGTATAATGGAGTCTTCAGTGATAGAAAATCCCTTCTTTGCTTGGGGCTCCATTTCTTCTTGGATCCTTCTCTCTTCAGGCAGTTCTAGCCTTCTGTTTTCCTGCAACAGCTATGTGTAACCTTAGGAGATGTTGGGAACAGTCATTCTACTTTATTCTTGCTGCAGCAGCCTAGTCTAGATTCTCTGACTCCCTGCCTGAACTATTCCAAGAATCTATTCTCCATTCCCTGCCTCCATTCCCTCCTTCCCACACTGCCAAAACCAGAGTTTCTGTCATGTGATTCCATGTTGCCTGGCGAATCAACACCTCCATCTGAAATTCAAGAGAAGATGCTCTTCAGTGGGGGCACTGATTTTCAGTCAAGCTGTTGCTAACACGAGTAACATTTAAGAGAGATTCAGGGAAATGACAAGCAGGAATTTATTTAAAAACATGTAATGATTCTCCCAAGCAACCACAAATAGGCCAATGTTGATTTATATGGTCTCATTTCAGCCACACTGTCTTCCAGAACAGGCTCTATGGTCCATAGTAGAGATTTTATCTTTTACCTCCTTTGAATACTCTGCTTCATTTATTGCAAAGCTGAGCATGGAGTAGTTTATCAATTCTTATTGACACAGCACAGGCATGGTGGCTGAAGGATTTCTGCCCCTCTATTAATGGCACACCTCCTAAATAACAATTACTGCTCTTGGAGATGATTGAAAGGTTCACGCCTACCATGGAACGTGGACCAAGGATCTTTCTGGGAAGAGGGAACCGATTTGTAAAGGCCTGAGGAAGGCAAATTCCAGAATTACACATTTTGACTCAAATCATCTGCACATATCTTCCCATGGAGTCAGCGGCATGTGTCCCTTGCACAGTATGTCTGCCTCGTTCCACAATCAGCCCATGAGAACACTTACTGGGTGCCTGTTACCTGCCAGCCCCTGGTTAGGTAAATCCCCCTCCCAATCCCAGCACCTAGCCAACAGCCACCAGCCCCGTAGAAGTGACACCTCAATCAATTCATGCCCCTTCCTATATAACCCAGCACCTTTCCCTAATAAAGCCGAACTCTCCGGTGAATTGCTGCTGTGTGTCGCTCCTTTCCTTTCAGGAGATGCAGATGATGAGTTAGGAATGCATGAGCCTTCGTACCCCCTTGTCTGAAATCCCTGGTGACAAACTCTGGCTCCACAAACATGACCATTATCTCTTATCCCTTTTTCGAGACTGAGTGGTGTGGGAGGAGAGAAGTTAGGGCACAGACAGAATGACACAGCTAAGAAATGAGAGCAGTACCTGAAATAAGACCTGGAATTGCATCCTGTTTCCGTGTGGCTGGCCTTGAGGCAGACTGCACATTCTGCCTGGGAAAGGGAACTTACCCAGGCCGATGACAAAGCTCTGGCACCCCTGCGACAAGCTGACCAGGAGTCTGTCATTGTGCCTCCCTCTGAGCCAGATCTGAACAAGATCGGGTCTGTATTCCCTTCAAGTGTGACCCCCTCTACTCAGTACAGCACCTTGGGGAGAGCCCAGAATCACAGGGGACCCTTGCGCTTACAGAAATCCCATGAAAGCTCTGTCCCCAATTCCTAGATAAAAAATTGAAGAGCACATATTCACATGATGTTGTACATGATGTGTGGGGGATTGTGGATCTTGCCCTATCCTGAGATGCTAGTATCTTGCAGTCAATGTAGCCTGAGATAGAATTTTCTTTAAAGGCAAAAATATCACAATAAAGTTAATAAATTTCCCATCATTTCACCTCATTTCAAACCAGATTCTAGCTGAAAATAAAGACAGAATTGTCTGGCCTTTGGATGTCCAACTTGGCACAAACAGCCCTGATTTCCTTACTCCCGGTAATGTTTGGCAGAGGTTGGGTGCTGTCTGGCAAGGGTGCTGGGGGCAGGGTTCCAGCAGTGGGTGGGAAACTGGGCAGAATGCCCTATGTATGGGCCTGAGCTATGGGCTTCCATTTTGAGGTACTCATGTGACCCCAGAGAAGAAGAGTGCTCGAGAACCTCTAGAAGACACCAAGAATTCATCTCCCCACAGGTGGGCCAAAGGTTATCTAAAGTGTAGGTCTCTACATAGGATCAAATCTAACATCTGAGTTCAGCAGCACCTTATCAAGCACACTCATCCCCAGCGCTCCCTTAAACTCTCAGTTTAGGGACTATGGGGTGGGAACTGGGGGCAGGAAAAGCAGGAAGCAAGAAACAGGCAGCAGGCCTAAGGACCAAATTTCTTCCAGAACCAAGAAGACTGATGAGCAGTTTGGGATATTTGAGGTCAACTTCAAGGGGGCAGAAGTTCAGCTTTCCTATGGAGTGTGTCTCCTCATCCCCTCCTGTATATATTCCCAGCCCCAGGCAAAAAGAGAGTCAGGGTTAAAAGATTCTTATTTGAAGAAAAAAGAATGCACATACAAAAAAATAAAACACACACGTGCACATTAAGACAACACTGAAAGGGGACAATAAAGTGTTAAAAGTGACTTTTTGTTTGTGAGTTTATAGGTAATTTTGGTATATGGATCTTTGTATGGATTGCCTATGTTTCCTTCAATGAACATTGTGACTATTATTTAAAAAGCAACAACATTTGTAGATACAAATTCTTATTTAGATCTTATTTAGATGCAGGCCTGGTATGGTAACTCAAGACCAGATTAAATAATTCTGGGAAATAGGGTTCTGGTTTCTTCACCAGTGCCATAAGGCAGAAGCAATACAATGATGCAATTTAGCACTCAATACACTACATTGCTGAAGAGAGCCTAAACACACTCGAGGGCATATTAGCTCCAAGTATAATGGAGTCTTCAGTGATAGAAAATCCCTTCTTTGCTTGGGGCTCCATTTCTTCTTGGATCCTTCTCTCTTCAGGCAGTTCTAGCCTTCTGTTTTCCTGCAACAGCTATGTGTAACCTTAGGAGATGTTGGGAACAGTCATTCTACTTTATTCTTGCTGCAGCAGCCTAGTCTAGATTCTCTGACTCCCTGCCTGAACTATTCCAAGAATCTATTCTCCATTCCCTGCCTCCATTCCCTCCTTCCCACACTGCCAAAACCAGAGTTTCTGTCATGTGATTCCATGTTGCCTGGCGAATCAACACCTCCATCTGAAATTCAAGAGAAGATGCTCTTCAGTGGGGGCACTGATTTTCAGTCAAGCTGTTGCTAACACGAGTAACATTTAAGAGAGATTCAGGGAAATGACAAGCAGGAATTTATTTAAAAACATGTAATGATTCTCCCAAGCAACCACAAATAGGCCAATGTTGATTTATATGGTCTCATTTCAGCCACACTGTCTTCCAGAACAGGCTCTATGGTCCATAGTAGAGATTTTATCTTTTACCTCCTTTGAATACTCTGCTTCATTTATTGCAAAGCTGAGCATGGAGTAGTTTATCAATTCTTATTGACACAGCACAGGCATGGTGGCTGAAGGATTTCTGCCCCTCTATTAATGGCACACCTCCTAAATAACAATTACTGCTCTTGGAGATGATTGAAAGGTTCACGCCTACCATGGAACGTGGACCAAGGATCTTTCTGGGAAGAGGGAACCGATTTGTAAAGGCCTGAGGAAGGCAAATTCCAGAATTACACATTTTGACTCAAATCATCTGCACATATCTTCCCATGGAGTCAGCGGCATGTGTCCCTTGCACAGTATGTCTGCCTCGTTCCACAATCAGCCCATGAGAACACTTACTGGGTGCCTGTTACCTGCCAGCCCCTGGTTAGGTAAAGTGGATCCCAGGATGAGCAAGGTAAGGGTCTTGCCCTCAAATAGTACAAATCTAATGAGCACTGATACAAGTAAGAGCAACTATGACACAATATGACAATTGCCTTACAGAATGTGGATTTATACAAAGGGCTCCAGCCACAAGAGGGAGCAGGAGAAAGTTTCAAAGGAGAGAAAACATTTGAATTGGACTTTGAATCACGAATAAGACCAAATCAATACAGATGGGAGGGAAGAGCATTAGAGGCAGAGGGAATGGCACAGAGGAATGATAAGCAAGTTATATGTAGAGAAAGACACAGCTGCCAGGTAGCTGGAGCAGATAGTGAGGTAGAGCTGAGGGGCTGGCCCCAGGAGCTATGGGGCAGGCTGGAGGATGCAGGTGGTGGAGCGCTGGGGGCATGGGAGAAAGGAGGCTTCCTCTCTTGGCTCCTTCTTTCAGGTCATTTTCCTGCAGCCGTGGTGACTGGGCTCCCTCCCTCCATGATGTGAGTCACCACCTGTCTTCTCTACCCAGGCCTGAGGGCCTGCTGGAGGTTAGTGCTCTGACTAACACATTCCTTCCCTTTATACACAAGTGTCAACAATTAGCAACTGATGAGGTCAGGTCCACTGTGTCACCAGCTGCCAGGGAGCTAGCGCCAGACATGCCATCAACTCCCCAACCTCGTCCACAGACAGGTTCCTGCCTCAGGAAACAGGACAACACACTCAGGAGGGATGCATAAAGAGGAAAAATTGAGGGAAAAAAACTGCAAGAGGCTGACCTGAGGCTTCCCAGTCAGGGAGTGGCTGTGGAAGGCCCAAGGTTTCCCTCAAACATTTTACAACATTCTATTAAAAAAAACAAAAAAACAGGTTTAGTTACTTTTTCTGTCCTTTCATGAAGGAATGTTGGTGGGAATGTGAGGGAAGAGCAAAAAGCCTCATTTGATCAAAAGGAGAAGGACTGGGTATGCAGGATTAGTTTCATTTGCAAGCAGGGAAGGAATTTCTCAAATAATGTTTGTGAGATTCCTTCTATACAAAAATATGTCAGCCAGGAGCCCTCAGAGCTGTTGGAATTGCAGATATCCTGTCCTTTGGGTGTGTAAAAGTGACCTGTGAGCTGCAGTGAACTTGTGGCAGTTATTGCTATGCTAACTAGTGGTAGTTATTGTTACGTGACCTGCGGCAGTTTCTGTTTTATTTTTCCTCTGTGAGAGGAAATGTGTCCCTTGCACAGTATGTCTGCTAGGGAGTAGATCTCTTGGTATTTCACCCTTTGCCAGTGTTTTACTTAGCAACCATTCACTGGTTGACTACCATGTGCCAGGCACTGCTCAAGATATGGAAACATAGCAATGAATAGCTAGTTTATGATCCAGGTGTGTGAATTCATTTAACCACGTTTTATACTGACTTTCTCATCCTGTGGAGATGGGGAAGGAGGCAGAGAAGAGTGTGCAGGCTGATGTCTTGGCAGTCAGAAGTCACTGGCACCGCATGTCTGGAGAGGGAAGCCTGCAGGTAGGACAGAGTTGAGGGAAAGGCTTGTTGGAGGACCTGAAAAGAAACTAGTTGATTTTAACATCTTGTTAGAAGCTCATCTCAACCATAGCCAGGACTTGGAAAAAGACCTAGCTAGCCACTCAGGTCCTTCCACCCAAAGGAAAGTTCACCCAAAGCTTATAGATTAGCAAAGCTTTTCTCTCTCCTCCCCTGTTCTCTGTGAAATAAGAAACGTGTGGGGAACACAAAACTCAGCCTGATGGGGAGGTACAGAGAGCTAATTCCTGCTGAGAAGGTTCTACCTTCTCGCTGCAGAGCTCATATAGAGGGTGCCAAAGGACGCAGGAACCACCTCCACAGGGGAAGGTGGCTGGAGGAGAGCTGTAGGATGAGGAGCCCTCAAGTTGCCCTTGGTGCTGACCCGTGAGAAGGTTTACTTTCCTCACCTGGATGTGTCTGCCAACTACCAACCCAGCAGCTGCAAAAGGGCAGATTTCAGAGCTCAGAGCCTTCTGCATATTTCTAGCACCTGTGAACTTCCCAGGGCGCTTGGTTACCATGGAGCATGAAGACAGAGGTTTCTGGAGATGGCTCCCAGGTAACACGGACATTGTGGAGCACAAAGATATGGCATCTGGGCAGCCAGCCCACCAGGGGGCCTGTGTAACCTTCTTTCATCACATTGAAAGAAACATGAGGGTTTGATCTCATTCCAGGACATGCTAAACCCGGCGGGATGCTTTCTTCTCTGCCAACAGAGGAAACAACCTACCATTCAGCTCAAGCTCAACCACCATTCAAACTTTATGACTTAAGACGGCAAGAGTTAGGAAAGTTCCTTCTGGGAAAATGGCACATTTTTGGTGTGGCAAGTATGCACACGGGGAGTACATAGTAGTGGTAGGGTCAATGTGGGGGAGTACGCAGTGGCAGGGGGTCAAATGTGGGGGAGTACACGGTGGTGGGGGCATTGATGGCTTTTTCAGTCCATTCAGTACTTTCAAATGTAATTATTCCTCACTAAACTTTACTTGCTTGCTGAGAATGAGAACTGTATTTCTGCGGATGGTCTATTTGAGACGTTAGAGCAGCCTGGGCCGATTTCTGGTAGAGGTAGATTCTCTTACTTGTCAGAGTGTGTGTTGAGGGTAGAGCCCAGTGTTCCTCAGCAGATTCTTTTCAAGCATAGCCAGATTTCCGGGGAGCCTGCCACCCAGTCTGTTGGCAGAATACATTTTTAGATTCTGAATCACCTTAGGTTCTTGTCTTGGTATCACTTTGGATTAAACACAACAGCATTCTAGTATGTTGGCTTCTCCTTGTACAGACAGGTTGGTTTCTCAGCCACCCTATCTTCAGGAAGCAGAGCAGCCTAGGCAGATAAAAGGGTTGCATATATTAGACGCCTACTCACCAGGTATTGGTAATACAGTTTTATCATTTCCAGTTCTACAAAACTCACACAAGGCTGCCCCAGGCGAAATGGTGAAACAGGCTCAGTTCATCCAGGATTTTTTCTGTCTCTTCTTTCATCAACACTAGCTGGCATGTCCTTCCATTCCCATTAAAATGGAGTTGCATGCAGTAAGTGTTCATTGACATTTATTTTGCCCAGTGGCATTGCCAGGCCCTGGTCTAGGCCCTAGAGTTACAACAGCGAACAAGGCTCCTCCCTCATGGAGGGGTAGAAAGGTGCCATGATATTTTCTATATACATATTTCTTTATAGATGTACAGATACCGTGTATAAAGATACATAGTATCAAATGATTCTGAGAAAATCAGGACAAAAATACCAATCAAGTGTCTTCTTAAACAGAAAAAAAGTTACGAAGGGGAAGATGGCAGTCTAAACCATGGAGGGGATAGTACAGGTCTCTCGGAGCAGTGGGTTTGTATATGAGCCTCGGTGGTCCCTACCGCCTCCCCCGCCCCACACACCCCCAAGCCCAGCCTGCCAGCCATGGCTCACTTTCCTGTTGGCTGCCTTCTGTGTCACTTAGTAGTTCCCTCCTTTCTCATTAGGATGGGATTAGCTCTAAGGTGAGAACCAGTGCATGCTCTATTTCAAACTGAACAATAGAGGACAGGTTGAGGAGCTGGCAATATCCTGTGTATAATTAGCAAACACTGGTTACACTTTTCCAACTCTAGATTTACATTTATAATGTACTCTTTATGAGAACTACTTCATAATGATGTCTGATGAAATTCTATCTTTCAAGGCCCTCCTCAAATCCCTGATTTCCCCCAAATGTATGTTAATCTTTCCCCAGCTCTCATGACATGTTGCTAGTTCCTCTATAGCAATTTGCACAACAGGCTCTGCACCACAATTGTGCCTGTGTGTGTGCCTTCTCTACCCATTGCACTGGACACTGCTGGGGGATAAGGCAAGTGTTGTCTGTATAGCCTTTAGCACCCGGCACTTCAGTGACAGAATTGCATCACAAATGTACTTCTCTTTGCAGAGCACAGGCTTTCATTTCAGACAGACTTGGATTCAAATTCTGACTCCATCTCTTCTTAACAAGGTGAACTCAGGCTAGCTGATTAACTGCCCTCAGCCTCAGTTTTCATCATTTGTAAAATGGAGATAACAATATTCATCTTGAAGGAGTCTAAAGACAGTGCCAGGAATATGATAGTTAACACGTACTGTATGACCCACATTATAATAACAAGGACACAACACTTCTCTGTATAAACAGCATAATAAAACTGATGCCAACAGAAAACTACTATTCAATGAGAATTTCCAGAGTCTTCCTCACACCTGATGTGCTGGAGGAGCTTTAGGTGGTGGCTCAAATATCTCTACTAGAAAATGAGAAGGTTGGTGGCCCTGCAAGAAAAGAGATGAATCCTAATACTCTGAGATGTCCTCCATGTACATAAGGGCAGCTGAAAGACACATAACAATGCTTCACTGTGTCCTTTAACCAGCTGCTCAAAAAGGAATATAATAAATCTACCCCCCCAAAAAAATGGAAACAATTTTTTGATCATTGATATTTCTGTGGAATCTTCTGAGTGTTAAAGGTATCACACTTCAACTTAGATGAAATCTAGAGTCATCTCAATGAAAGCTCTTTTTTGGCCAATTTATTTGCTCAATGAAGTTTATGTCTGTGGAGAGAAATTCTACTAAATAGGAGCAATTTAAGCACATTCTGGAAGTGTAGACCTTTCTGACAATATTAAGTTAAAAACTCTAGGCCTAAGCTGGGAAGGGGGCAAAAAAGTGGTAAAAAAAGGTGTAACTACTAAAAATCAGGACCATTGTAGGATACGGCATCTAAGGTGAATTTCTTCTCCCTACTCAGCTTTTGTACAGGGACAAATTGATTTAAAATAAATAAGAAAGGTGGCATTTAAATTGAAAAGAAGTTACAAGAGGGCAGGGAGAAGGAATGAGAAGAAAAGGCTGCCATTGATTCTTGGGGGTTTTGATGGGTGACGATGGCAGTGACATGGTAGGGTATTTTAACAGAAAAACCACTAGACTTGAAATAGAAAGATCCAGGTAAGAGTTCTGGTTCCTTCACTTGATAAGCTGAGAGATCTTGAGATATTTACTCATCTCTCAGGACCTCTGTTTCATCAAGCTCAAAAATGGAGATATAAACATATCCCCTACCTCATAGGGATGTTGGGGAATTATGTGAGCTGAGAAATACAGGCATTTGTAAATAAAATAGCACCATTCAGTTTAAAGTAATTATTTTGAACCCGACTGAGTTTTTAAATTATGCAATGAAATGAGCAAAATAGATCAAAATACTAACAACAGTATGTCATAATACTGTGCTTGGAGCAATAAGTTTGTATTTTTGTTTATGCTTCTGTTTATACTTTGCTATATTGCCAACTTCTCCACAATGAGCATGCATTACATTTGCACAGTTTATAGTAGGTGGTGATAGGAGTGTGCCTTAGAGATTCATACCATGTAGTGAAAGTATAAGAATGCAGAAGAATGATTTACACTGACATCAGGAGGAGGTTGTGGCTGGGAAAAGAGATGGAACCAAGAGGAACGAGTGCATCTCCAGCCATGTCAGTAAAGATTAAATTCTTCAGCTGAGTGGCAGTCACACAAGTATTTTTTATTATGATTTATGTATTTTTGTGTCTCAAATATTTCGTTATAATTTTTAAAACAAAATATCAGTACTGGATACAAAGGTTTATGTGCCAGGATGTTAATTGCAGGGCTATTTGCAGCAGTGAAAATATTTCAAACTGAGTGTCCAACAATAGAAAATTGGTTAAGAAAACTTTGGCTTAGTAGAAAAAAGCAATATAATATTGCTATTGTTGTCCTATGACCCTTAAGTTACACAATTTCATTGAGTCAGCTGCTGCTGCATATGCCTGTTTAGAATGAAAGAGGACAGGAAATGGTGCCTCGTTGAAAATTTGATTCCTCTCATCAGTCAGCATAGTACATCTTCCCATAGCAGAAGAATATTTAATATTTGAACAGAAGATATGAAGAAGGAAAAAATTTTAAGGCCCAAATGAGGCCACCTACTATCATGATTACAAAGTTCAGCCTTTATCATACTTACCTCTTACCTTCCAGAAGAGGCTTGACTGTTTCCTTTCTTCTACCAAATTGTTACATGAAGGGAACAGTTTCTCACTTGTTTCAGTAGGTTCCATGATGGAGATTATATAGTAATGGATCTTGCCAAGGATTTGATATTTCTGTCCACTGCCTTTTGCATATTGTATCCAAGAATTCAAAGGAATGTAGCTCTCAAGTCAATGATAAAAGACAACAGGCTTTCTGCTCCATTCTCAGGTGAGTAAGCTCTGATTTTGTAGCTCAATATAAATTCTTCCCATTTTTAAAAATAAAACAGGTTTTTATAAATGCACATGTTGCTGATGCAAATATGGCTACCAGGCTCTCAGTGTCATAACGGAATTACAGATTCATTTTAGAGGATCACCAGGATAGCAGAACCTGTATTTTGGATCTGCCATCAGTCTATTGAGACCCCTCCTTCTGCCCTGTTTGCTTCAACAACTGGTGATCTGTCCAGAACTTTCAGGGAAAGACCCAACAGAGCTTTGTGGGAATGTGAACATATATACTGTTTCATCCAGTATTTGCATTTCTAATTTTCTCTCAAATTGTCAAAATGTTTATTCTCCATTAATAAACCAGAAGCAAGAGGAGGAGGTATATTTCAGGGGTGGGAAGAACTATTAAACCTTTAAACCATTCATCCTTCCAGCAAGACTTGCCACTATGTTGTTTTATAGTTTTGTTTATATAAACTTCGTATAATATTGTAGTGTTATGATTACCACAGTAAGTTGAGTTAATACATCCATCAACTCAGGAAACCAGGCTGTATATATGACCTCTTAGAAAGTACTGAATGCTTTCTCCTTCCTCCTCCCTTCCTATTTCCATTTCATCCCTTTTTGCTGTAACACTGGACATTTCCAAGTCAGTATGTATTTGCCTTTAAGATAAAAACTTGAAGTGTTACCCTTCCCCAAATCACAGGTGCCCACAGGACCACAGGAAGTCTAACACTTGGAAAAATTTGCAAGAAACCCTTGCTTCTCCTGGGTTTCCAGCATGTCATTCAGCCTTGGCCTGCTCACACCCCTTGAAGAGTTGTAAAAGCAGGGCTGTCATCAGCTGTCTCAAACCTTAGTTCACGAGTCTTATTTGGTTTTGCTGTTGGTTTGGGCCACGGCCTGTGCAGGACTCTGCTGCTCACCAGCATCTCCTGCTTGCTGTGAATCTTTCTCACTGGGGCCTGGGCCTGGGCTTCATTTGGCTTGAGTGTTCTTCCTCATGTAGTCCTAGGATTGGTGACTCACTGCTTGTTCCTTCATGTCTTGGAATGCTCAGATTCAGAATTTGGCTTGGCTTTCTGTAACTATTTAGATAATGTGCCCTTTTCATGTCTGTGAACATCCTGGTCTTGAACTCATATATCATCTGCAGGGCATGTGGAGAAAGAAGCTAGACTCCCAGTTGCGGTCATTTAATATGTCTTGGGCTGTCCCTATAACCTCAGGCTGACCTTTCTACCCTAGGTGTTTCTCATTTTCCTAATCAATAAAGAGCATGTAGGATATTCCGATTGTCTTTCTTCCTCTTCTTGCTAATATTCCTTGACTTACTTCTACCCTATGACCTCTGGTGTCATGGAAGAACCAGATGCAGATGTGGGAAACCTCCCTAATTTTTCCTGCAAACCTCTGCAGAGAGCTGGGGTGAAGCCATTTGTTCTGCCCATCCGAGGCACTGTCCTCTGGGGTGTAGAGGTGGGACTAAGGGAGGCACCCAATGACCTTGGAGAATGCTTCAGACATTGAATGTGAGGGACCACAGAGAAAAAAGGCAGAGACAACAACGTCAACAAAACTGTGACCAGGAGAATATTTGGTGGGAAATAAAATAAAGAGACAATCTAACTCAATTATATGTGCTTTCCTTTTGTACTGTGTGTCCATCAGGGAAACTGCTGGGACCATCTGTTAAATGTTTATTTTCATTGTTACTTCTGAGTGCCAAAAAAGCCTGTAATGGGAAGAAAGCCTTTAAGGAAAATAGCCTTTAAGATTATTGGTAAATGATCAAGAAAAGGAAAAGCCAGAAGCCAAATTCTGGCTGAAGTTCTGTCTTCCTTCTTATACCCAGGAAGTTCTAGAACAGATTAGTCTACTTTTTCAGGAAATTATTTCCTAGATCTGTGGGGGGTTTTTTTCTCATTATAGATACCACTCCATGGCAGACAGGACAGGGTACTTGGGAGGGACACGTTTTGCCATTTGTCCATACCTCTTTGGAAAAACAGAGGAAAAAGAGTAAAGCCAGGAGACACAACATTCTACTTTCTAGTTCTCCTGGAAAAATAGTTTGAGAAGGCTGAAGTCTTCAGCCAATATAAGGGACGAGAGTTTGTACAATTTAATTATTCATGCTTTCCCTGCCCAGAATTAGTTTGGATAATCAAATACTGAGTGACCCAGAAAGACTCAAAGATTGTGAAGTATTTTCCAGTGGCCTCATATGCTCCTGAGGTTCAATCCTGCTTGCTGACATCCAAGAATAGCTTCAACATGGAAAAAGTGAAAAAGAAGTAACTATCATCCCCGGACAAACCTTGAAAGTTGGTGTTTACATTGGATTAAATTTATAAAAGGAGAAATTGGGTTTTTTGTTCTCTGAAATACAAGAATTTGGATAGATAACACTTAGACTGCCAGCAGCTTTGGAGTCAAGCACGCTGAATCTTGCTACTGAAAACTAACTATTTGGTAGAAAGCAAAGTGAGTTTGCTGGTTGGACTCAAACATTAAATTAGCTTGCAAATGACAAAACCTCATTTTTTTTTCCTCCTAAGTAAGATAGCTTCTACTTAAATACTCTGAGATTACAGGACATCGAAACTAACGTATAGGACTAACTTCCAAGTATGGTAACTACTTAATCAAGGCCTTTGGGGACCTCAGTAAATAAACCCTATAGCTGGACTATAACAGAGCAGAGTCTGGTAAAAAGTCAATCTGTTTAAAGAAAGTTATAATGGGATTTCAATGTTTTATGGAACAAATTATTTTAGGTTCATCCTGTGGAAGGGCATGTTTTTGGAAAAAGCAAAGGATTGTTGTCCTTTATATGCACTATCCCACATCATTGTCGCAGCCCAATGAGGCAGGTATTTTTATCTTATGTTCTAGAAGGAAGATTTACTTTCCCGGAGTCTTCAAAGGGAACCAAATATCTAACAAGCTTTCTCAGGGCACATGTTTCTGTCTGGTCCTGATCATAATTATTACGTGATCTTGTAATGAGTCAAGTTACTTGTCTAAGCTTTCCATAAGCTTCCCAAGGACTAAGACTATGAATTTTTTTTCATAGCAAGTCTGAAAAAGGAACATGTTCATCCGAAGTGTGTGATTTTGAAGAATGATGAATTGACACTCAAAGATCAAGATTTAGCAATGTGTAGTGCCTGAAATCTTCAAGATAAAATTTATAGATTATCTAATAAATTTTTAATGATTGACATTTGTGCATCTTGAAGAACGTTTGGAGATGAATTTGTTACATATATGAAAAGCTAAGCAAAAGGAATATAACTGTGAAGTCCAAAAATAAAACAAAAACAAAAATTATATAATGTAACAGCTGTGGATAATACTTATAAAGTCATAATGTTGCAAACACTAATAGTGATGTATTCTAAAATGATACTATAGCTAGATCATGAGAATGGAAGGTAAGGGAGTGAGTGAGTACTGGGGCAGACAATGGGAGAACTAAATATTTATCTTTCATTCAAGAATGTCAGTGGATAATAGCTAAAGCTAAAATTCATAGTAGTTAAGTATGTTATTAAGAAATGAGGAGGAAAAATGCCAGCTGATTTGAAAGTGGTTACCTCTTGGGAGTGGGACTGGGAAGAAGTACATACAGGGCACTATTGACTCATTTTAGCTTTTAAGCTATTTGAATTTTAAAACTAGGTATATGTATAACTTTGTTTTTAAAAACACAATTTAAAAGTAATACAAGTTTCCATTGGTGGGAATGTAAAATGGTGCAGCTGCTATGGAAAACAGTATGGCAGTTCATCAAAATATGAACAATAGAATTATAATATGATCAAGCAACACCACTTCTGGATACACATTACAAAGAATTGAAAGCACGGCCTTGAAGAGATATTTGTACACCCACATTCATAACAGCATTACCTACAATAGCCAAAATGTGGAGGCAATCCAAATTTTGTGGAATATCAGTGGATGAATGGATAAACAAAACATGGTACAACATGGATGGAAACTCGAGGACACTATGCCAAGTGAAATAAGCCAGTCACAAAAAGACAAATACTGTATGATTTAACTTATATGAGGTACCTTGAGTAGTCAAACTCACAGGAACAGGAAGTAGAATGGTCCTTGCAGGAGATGGAAATGGGGAATTGCGTAATGGGTACAGAGTTTCAGTTTTGCAAGATGAACAGAGTTCTGGACATCAGTTGCAAAGTAGTATGACACTAACACTACTGAATTATACACTTAAAAATGGCCAACATGTACATGTTATGTGCATTTTATCACAATTAAAACAATAAAAAAAATACAAGGTTCTTGTTACCATTCCTAACTTAATGGATCATAACCTGAGGACGAACCTGGGGAATCATGTTTTTTAACAAGCAGCAAGTTGATTCCAAATGGCATTATGGTTTGAAATATGCCATGGGGGTAAACCATCCGCTTTTTGAATGTATTAGACTGCCATTTGTATTAAGTCGGGAATCTAGCCTTTCTGATCAAGAGCACATATTCTCCGCTGAGTAATTAATTCCCATGTCGCTACAGAGCAGTTCAATTTAAATAGCAATTATTTATATAGCCATTTAATTCCAAAGAGGGCTTAGTTATTTATTGAGCCCAATGATGATTATTCTCCAGAGTGGTGCAAATTATATTATCTACCTCCTGCACAGAGAAACTGAGGCAAAAGAAGATCAGCTGCCCAGAAAAGACCCAATTAGAATAGAGAATAATATCTCTATTGTTTAGTAACATTTAGTAATCACCACATTGTTTACTGAAGAAGAAATTCAAAGATAAATTCCCCTAAGAGCACACAATCAGTGTTAATTCCTCCTCACATATGGAAACCAAAATTTCCTCTTGCCAGCTAATCTCATCCCACCATGCACCTCCACTTCTAGTTACCTTTCTTTCCATAATTCCTAATTCTACAAACCTGTTTTTTTATTGCAATGTATCAATGTTATTTTACCAGAGACTGGCACTAACTAAAATTCAGCAAAAGGCAGTTCAATCCAATTTTGAGACTAGTGAAGGAAGACGTCCTTGACAAATGATTTTTTCCAGAACCCAAATTAAAATAAAACCTTATATTAATTTCAGGTCCTACTAGATGAGTCCCCATTTTACTGACTGAAGAGCAGATACCTTGGGTAACAGGTGATAATATTCAAGTTCTTTAAAGAACTAAAGAAAAATAAAAACTTCAAATTTTACACAAGAAACTTTTTTCCAAAATTCTGTCTATTCAATGAGAACATGAATGCTACAAACAAAATATTTTGAAAACACAGAAACAAAGTCTTTAATTCTAAAGAAAAAGTATACTGTAACATGATTGCAAATCTGGGACATTTGCTGTCCCGTATACTCCAAACAGTATTTTCTACACAGCTTCAAAAGAAAACCTATTGTTGGGGCATATAGTCATAAACTAAATTTTAACATTGCCATGAATACAAGCTGAAAGGGCAAGCTCCCAGATTCTATTTCAGTCAATTGGGACCCAGATCCTACCTCAGCCAATCAGGACCTGGATCCTATTTCACCCAATTGGAGCTTGGTCTCTCTCCTCTCCAGTCAGCGAAGAGCTCACCCACCACCCTTAGACCCTGCCAACTGACCAGAGTCATGACCTATCACCCCACCAACTACCCCTAGATCCAGCCAATAAGCCAGAGCCACGACCATCACCCCACCAACTGCCCTAGAACCCCATAAAACCTTTGTGGTATTGAAACTCGCTCTCTTTCTCTGGAATCTTGCCACTGTGTTAGTGTAGATGAGAGATTGAGCTCGAGCTAGCTCGAATAAAGGCTCTTTACTTTTGCATCGGTGTTGGCTCCTTGGTGGTCTTCTGGGATTCGCGACTTTGGGCACAACACAATCAAGCCTAGTTTAATTGGAAATAAAGTTATTGAGTGATTAAAACTTAATGTGTTAATATTTATACCTTAAAGAGTGCCAAGATGAATTTTTTTGTTGTTAAAAACTTTACTTCTAATGGTTCAGAATGGTTCCTGGAGGTGTTTTCTTATTTCAGCATTCCTCATGAGCTCTGGAATACCTGCCTAAAAGTTTCCACTTTGAAATATAGTAATAAAGCATTTGTTTAAACAAACCTCTCCAAAGATAGCATTAAACTGACTCATTTTAGAACTCATTCAATATGAGGATTTATTTGAAATAATTCATTATGGATTTAAGTTATTTAAAATTATAAAACTCTCCTGAGTCCTTGTAAATGAAATTTAATCTGCCTTTGGCCACTGCATTTTATAGGTTACTAAAATCCCAATAAAGTCTATGATGACTTCCTAACTTGTGCCACATCTGTACATGTAACTTCAGTGCAATGACTCAAGACAACTGTTATTATCACTTAGATGAAGAAAAGTCATAAGCATCCAGAGATAAGTTTAGAAATAGCTGAATTTATGAATGCACCATTCTATAGGAAACAAACTCAAATTTTTTATATGCTTTGGTCAAAATATTGCCAGTTAATCAGAGTTTTACTATATATTATGTGGATTTGGTTTCTTTGGTGACAAGTTGCTTTTCATGACATTGACAACTTTCTTGTCTTTGCTTTTTTGAATCAGAGGAGCCTATTCTAAGTTTGACCTTGAGGCAGCCTGTTTTTAAAGTTTCCAAAAGATAAAACTAATGATTTTGTGGTTGCAGTGTACAGATAGGGCAACACCTACTTCATATGTAGATTTTATTTACATTCCTGGATTGGGACAAAAACTGTATTATTTGCATTTCCAAAGATTGGATGTTCACATGAAAACAGCTTTTTCTAAAACTAACAGTAATTTGAATTGTAAAATATTTATAAATGGCTTAATTAAAAGAGTATTTGCCACATGATTGCTTTTGAAAATGAACTGCTATTAAAATTTAACAAAAACTCAACAGAACAATTCATCACCTTCTAAACTATATTTTGATGGAAACATATTTTACAATTCCCACTAATAATTTAAAAATTTTTTTCTCAGAAATCTCACAAGTTCACTATATTTATGTCATTGTAAAATAAGTTAAGATAGTGAAAGCTAGAAATTATAACCACAGCCTGAAAGTTGGTAACAATTTTTCATTTCATAAATCATATATTTTTATTTTAATGCCAAGATATGAGATATGGAATTTATTTTCACATATCATTATAAAGAATCACAAATGTTTGAAGTCCATATTCACTAGATTTCAACACAAATTTTACACAAGGGTATACCTACTGAATGCAAGAACAGATAAAAATTAGACAATCTAAATGTCCACTAACTGGTAAATGGGTAGATTGTGTTATTCATATAATATATTATTATGTAGTAATAAAAATCAATGAACTGTGGCTGCACTCATCTACATGGATAGATTTTAAAGTTTTTGAGCGAGAGAGCATGGAAAAATACATAGAGCATGAGTCTACTGACAAAATTCAAACAGAAGCAAAACAGTGTAAAACTACAAATACAAACGAGGCAACAATGAACAGATGACTTGTGGTTACTTCTGGAGGAAAATGAAATCCAAGAAGAGCCACAGAGGCTGTCAAAGGTATAAGTAATATTCTGCTCTTAGAGCAAGGAGGTGAGTACACGTGTATCCTTAAACTGTACATTTACTTTACCTGCTCTGGAGAAAATGAAAGTCGAGAAA